AGTTTGATCAGGGGTAACTACTGCTGCTGTACCATTATTTGACCCATCAGTGAATACATTTGGAGCATTCATGATAGGGGTTTTTCTTGTCATTTTTGGGAAAACTACAGGATGCGAAGACCAAAAAGACAACAAAGGATTAGATGGTAAGTGATTATCAAATGAAACATTAGATTTACACATGATTATTGCCCAAGTATTTAACTCATTAGCTAACTCATCAGTTTGATCCATAGTATATGGAGTAATAATTTTATTGGGAGAAATTCCAAACACTCCCTTTGCTGCTTTTATTCCTTTGAGTATTAATTGTCCTACAGCCTCAGGATACCTAGTAAGAATAGTGTTAGGAGAGTAAGATAAATGTATCCACAATAATGGACCTTCTTGCCAAAATACTCCTGTAGGAATATTTTTTGTTGGTATTACAATAAATAATAAAGGCAAAGTTATATCAATTCTATCCAAATGCATATTTTCCATATATGTCTCAATAATTTTTAATGTCTTTCTTGCTTCAGGCGTTAACATGCGGGGTGAATTTGGATCTGATGGACCTTTTAGGATATCAAATAAAGGTCCCAACTCTCCTGTTGGTATGCCTAGATAAGGCCTTATCCAATTTATGTCTCCTAATAACTTTTGAAAGTCGTTAAGTGATTTGAGTTGATCTACTCGTATTTGAATTTTTGGTGGACGGACCATGGTTGAGGATAATAGAACTCCTAAATAATTAATTGGAAAATTTAATTGTACTTTATCTATTGCTATCTCTAGATTATAATTTTTTAATAAATTTGTAAGTGTGGCATAACATTCTAGCAATGTGTTTTTATCTTTGTGTGCTAACAATACATCATCCATATAGTGAAATATTTGTAGTTTAGGATTTTGATTTCTAAGTGGCTGGATTGCTTTGTTAACATAAATTTGACACATAGTTGGGCTGTTAGCCATCCCTTGAGGGAGTACTTTCCATTCATATCTCTGATCAGGACCTTCATGATTCAGTGCAGGGATAGTAAATGCAAAATGTGGACTATCCTCAGGATGAATTGGAATTGAAAAAAAAAACAATCTTTAATATCTATAGCTAAAACGTACCAGGTTTTTGGCAAAGCAGACAATTGAGGAATCCCTGATTGAGCAGGTCCCATAATAACCATCTCATTATTAATGGCTCTTAAATCTTGCAGTAATCTCCATTTACCAGATTTCTTTTTAATGACAAAAATGGGAGTATTGTAAGGAGATACAGAAGGTTGTATATGTCCCTCTGCTAATTGTTGTTTGACCAGGTCATGGGCTGCTTGTATCTTTTCTTTAGTCAGGGGCCACTGAGGAACCCATACTGGTCTATCTGATTTCCAAGTAATTTTTATTGCCTCAGTGACCCCTTCTGAAAACCCAGTCCATGTCTATTTATTCCTTGATCTATTTGAATTGGTGCTGCTATGCCTTGTTCTCCTATCTTTTTTCTTTCCTGAAACCTTGTCTAGCCCTAATAGTGGGCGCATTTGGATTGATGTTATTTGTTAATGTCAAACCTAATTGATCTAGGACATCTCGTCCCCATAAATTTATAGGAAGATGATCCAATACATATGGCTGTATGGTTCCTTCACATCCTTCAGGATCCTTCCAATCTAATACCATTGCACTTCTATGGGGATTAGTTGCCACTCCTAGGCCTCGAAGCGTTTGAGTGGCTTGTTGTAACGGCCAATGTTTTGGCCATTCTTGACGAGATATGATGCTAAGGTCTGCACCTGTATCCATTAGCCCATTAAATTCATGTCCTTGAATATTTAGTTTTAGCATTGGGCGAGAATCTAAATTCAAAGACAGCATAGCCCAATCTACACCTGTGGAGCCTAATCCCCTGGAACCTCTTTCTATACTACTACTGGAAAATTTATCATGTAGGCTGGGTATTATTAATAACTGTGCTATTCTATCTCCTGGTGAAATTACTGATATACCCTTTGGAGAACTAGCTATAAATTTTATTTCACCTTCATAATCGGGATCAATTACCCCGGGACTTATCATAAGTCCTTTTAGCATAGAAGAACTGTGTCCTAACAATGAGCCTACTGTTCCTTGGGGAAGAGGTCCTTTTACTCCTGTGGGAATGATTTGAACTCCCATCTCTGGAGTTAGTACTGCTCTGGCGGAGGCGCAGATGTCCAACCCTGCGCTCCCTCTGGTTCATCTGATGAGAGATCTGATGGATAATGTGTCCTGGGCACTACCCTGATGGTGTTGCTGGGTTCCTCCATGGTGTTTCTGGGTTCCTCCAGTGCCCCGTACATTTGTGGTCGTGGGCCCCGGAGCATTGGGCCCCCCTGTCTGTTTTTTGGCAATGGAGCCCGATGCCTTTCTCCACGATATCGTGGGTAAACACCTGGTCCTTGTCCATTTTTTGATAATGGAGTACCCTCTATGGTGGTTTGAGAACGGCATTCATTAGCCCAATGTCTCCCTCTATGGCATCGTGGGCAAATACCCGGTATTCTATTCCTTTAATACCTAGCTTTGTTAAACCCTCCTCCTATGGGGCAACTCCTTTTAAAATGTCCTGTTTGTTCACAATTGTAGCATGTTTTTGGCCTGGCTTCTAAAGCCTGTTGTACTGCTGCCAAGACTTGTCCTTGTTCATTAATGTCTCTACATAATTTAATATATGTGTTTAAATCTTCATGTCTCCATGGTCTAATGACCTCTCTGCAGCAACTATTTGCTTGGTCATAAGCCAGTTGTTTTATAAATGGCATTGCTTGTTCTGTATCCCCAAAAATTCTGGAAGCTGCTTGAATAAGCCTATCTACAAATTCAGCGTAAGGTTCATTTGTTCCTTGTATTACCTTAGATAATTGACTGTCGCGACCCCTTGCCCGCAAGGAAGACGCAACTCAGGAATCTTCTTTCAGCAGTTTATTCAGGTCCTTGATATTTCTTCTTCTCTCTCTCGGATGCCCCTCCCAGCCTTAATAAAGCATCTCAAGCCCCAATGCAAAGCTGCCACGTGGAGCTTTCTCATAGGGTGGTGAAAAATCATGTGTCAACTCTCCCAAATAAGGAGTTGTTTGTCACAGACCACAGCGGAGCCAGCGCCATCTTGTAATGGCGACCATAGTCTGCAGAAACGGCAGAAGCGGCTCACCACAATTGAGCTTGTAAATCTCCATGCCCCTGTAAAGTTTTCCATGCCCTAACCGCATCTACAGCAATTTGTGCGTATATGCCAGGATCATATTCAATTTGTTGCCGTTGACCCTCATAAGGTCCTTTTCCTAACAACATATCTAGATTTCTTTGAGGGTAACCGGCTGCTGCATTTCGCCTAGCTGTCTCTCTGCAAAATTCCTCATTGGCAACCTTCCATAACAAATATTGTCCTCCATTTAGCACAGATTTACACATACTAGCCCAATCTGCTGGCGTCATGTCCAAGTTGGTAATGGATTCGACCATGCTTACAGTGAACGGTGCTTGAGGACCATAGGTTGTTACAGCCTCCTTTAACTGCTTCACTGTTTTGAAATCTAAAGCTCAGTGAATTCGCTGCCCTCCTGCCTGCTCAAGTACGGCGAATGCTAATCTTTGAGGTCCTGTCTCAGGATCCCATCTATCAACTACGGAGTTTGAGGGCCACTCAGCTATCTCCATAGGGGGAGCTGTTGGTTGAATTACGCCCTCTGGTGATAGAACGGTGTTAGTAGCAGCCTCCTGTTGTAGCTTTTTCCCTAATAGCTGTTTCTCCTCTAAGCTTTCTTCCTTTAAATTTTCTTCCTCTGTCTGACTAGCTTGAGAGACCTTCTCTTTTGCTTGATCTAAAATGTCTTTCTCCATGGTCTGAACCTCTAACAATTTACTTAACACTCTTTCAGTTTGTTTTTTACTAATTTCTAATCTGTTATAAAGATAATGCAACCCAATAAGATAACACAAAACAAAACCGGAACAGAATGAAACAAAAACAGAACAAAAAATCGTTGTATCAATTTTCCTATTTTCTTGACATGTGCATTTGTGGTCTATTTCTATCTCTTCCTCAGGGGCGAACAACTTCAAACCTTGAGCCAACCATTTTTCCCAATCTGCCTGAGAAAATTCTAGGGATAGGCAGCTTGAAACAAATACAAAACAAATCAAAACAAGAACACATTGTTTTTTAAAATGGTCACCCATTCTCTCGCCTTCCCTTAGGGGCAAGCAATTTCACTTACCCCGTCTGTTCCCCGCATGGGCCGCCAATTGCCACAGTCTGGCTGGGCACAAATCATGAGCCACTGAAGCACCAACAAACTTTATTTTTGAACTGCAGGAAAACACTTCACACAGCTCCCGGGGAATCCTCCCGAACACCACGCTGCTTGTCCAGGAACCCCCAGCCGGAAATATCTCTCCCGGAAATCCCTCCTCCTGCACTTCCCCGACCAATGGGAACTCTCGGGGAATCCCCGGAAATCCCCACGAGAACTCCAAAATAGTGCGAGAACTCAAAAGTTGCGGCAGAAGCAGATAGTAATGCCTCGCCTGTCAATCAATACTGTTGGCAAAATGCCAGGGGCCATACAGACTCCTCCGTGGCTCTCAGCACAGGATGGAGCCAGGCCCTCTTGCTTTTCTCTCATAACTGCTGTGTGATGTCAGGTCTCCTTCAAAACCCTGCTACCAAGCAAAGCAGGAAGGTGCAGATGAATGAGGGCCAGGACAAAGGGAACTGGATGTTATGATGGGATAGTTTCCCCAAGCTTTTGAGAAGTGTCCACATTGCTTTTGTGCCTACTAGTGTGCCGCTGCTTGAAGCAGAAAGACCCAGGAACAACATCCATTCTCCTGTATTGAGTGCATCTTAACAACTTTCTGAAGTTGACTTTGTCGCCATGCCCGTTTTGTAGATGTGGTGATGGAAAGAGTCACAAAGAGCTAATGAGTCAGGGGTCAGTGTTAGGATTCTGATGATCTGGCTTCAGCATCTCTCAGCAGAGTCCATGTCCTCCAGCTCCCCTTTTTCTGATCTGAAAGACACCCCAGTCATCTCTTCAGACTTAAAGATTAGAGAGGAAAATGAAGTCAGCTGGATTCAGATGCAGTCTCTCCTCACCAGCTCTGTCACCCTGGGTGAGGTAATCGCACCACTCCTCAGTTTCCTCATCCATTAAATGGGAACATCCCTTCTTGAGAGTTTGTATACTATGGCAGGCACTGAGACAAGATTTTTTTTCTCCTATTTTAAAAATCAAATTGTAATTCACACACATATAATCCACTTCTTTAAAGTGTGAAATTTAGTGGTCTTCGGGATGTTCAACCATCACCACTACCCGTTTCCAGAATACTTTCATCACACCAAAAAAAACCCAAAACTTACAGGTCTTATGCTTTACTACCTGCCCCCAGCCTCTGGCAGCAACTCAGACCCTGTGTCATGGATTTGCATAGCCAAGGCTGCTGATCAGCTCACTGAACACCCAAACACCGAAAGCACCTCTGTCACTTAGGATCTGTCATTACTCCTACAGTACTGTTCATTTAAATGAGACTGCTGGAGCTGGTGTGGTGGCTCAGTGGTAGAGCACTTCCTAGCTTGTGTGAGGAACTGGGTTTGATCCTCAGCACCACATAAAAATAAATAAATAACACTAAAAAAAGAATGCTTTTTTAAAAAAGTAACTGCTGTACAGTTTTAAAAAGTGACTGCTGAACATTTGTTTAAAATGAAAAAAAATCAACAGTCCTAGTTGTAGTTTTTCTTGATCACAGAGAGTGTAGGAGGAAGAGGCTGTACCACTGAGACCCTCCTAACTACACAAAGAAAATTGAGAAGTATTTGTACCTTTTATAAAACCACAAACTGATGTCAATTAAATATTACTACACAACAACACAGTACTAAGTAACATAGCCAATGGGACTCACAGACTGAAGGCAAAGACTAAAGGAATTTCAGAGGACACAGCATTGCACAGTCTATGAAATCTGGGTGTGATGATAGACTCCTTCATTGGACATGACAAGAGACATTCTCAGGGACAGTTTTAGGATGCACACTGCTGCTGTGCTGCAGTAGCAAGAAAATCAGGTGTAAACTTTTCCATCTACTCATACTCAAATCCCGTGAGGGAAGTACTATTTTTCTCAGTTTTACAGGTTACAAGTTTGGGGGAAAGGGAGGTAATTATCTTGACCAAATCAGCAGTGCCAAGATTTTACTACAGATCCTTTGGCTCCAGAGTTTGGTACATTCCACTATCTTTTGTTTCCAACAACACCCAGGGAGAGAATGGCAAAAACCTTGAGAGCCACAAGGACTGTCCAGGGAGGCTTGCTGCTGAGAGTAGAGTAGATTGTTCATTGTGCAAGGGCCCCAGGATGCGGGGCCAGTGGTATGTGCTACTCTCCATTTAGAAATTCCCACAGAGCAGCAAATGGGTTGGGGCCTGTCTCATGGCTTCTTTCCTCTTTCCCAGTTCTGACTTCCCAGGACTCTGCCCTTCCCCAGAAGGAGCAGGAGAAGATGACCAAGTTTCAGGTGAGTGGAGTTGGGATTTTCATCTCTTAAAATGACATCTCTCTTCTCAAAGATGAAACGTCTTTTTTTTCTGCCTTGGGAAGGACAAAGGAGGAAGATATATTTGTGACCTTCCAGTTACTTGGGTTTTTCTGGGGGGTCAATTCTTTAAATTTTCGTATTTAGCTTTTGTTTACTTTTTAGTTTTAATTGCTTTATCATCATCTTTATTCTGCAAATAATAGTGCAGAAACTCATAGATATCAAAAAATAGGGGGAAATACACATTACTATATTAGTTACAAATCATCTCTATTCTCCATACTATTTGCATACCTTTATAGATCTTGTATGTTTTATATATGTATGCTTTTAAAAATATATTTTATGTAATTAAGTTACAGTGTATGTAGTTTTCAATTTTTTTTAAATAGCATCACTTGAGTTTGTTATGATCCAGCATTTTTTATGTACCTGTCTCCAAAATTTTCCATTTTTAATGTAATCTTTCAGAGACTACCAACAAACATACACTGCATGCATCTAAATAAATTTGTTTTTGATTTGTAAGAATTTCACATGGGACTCTTTGAAATGAAATATAATTACAAAAGTCACACAGATCATAAGAAAGTGACAATCATACACCCGTTTGACAGCTGTGTTATTGCATTAGACCATCACCCAAAACAAGATACAGACATCTGTCTTTCCCCCCAAAACTTCCTTCGAGGGCTAGAGTTGTAGCTCAGTGGTAGAGCACTTACCTAGCATGTGTGAGGCATTGGGTTTGATTCTCAGCGCCACATATAAATAAATAACAATAAAGGCCCATAGACAAATTTAAAAATAAAAACTTCATTTGAGTCTCATTACAGGCACTTTCTTACTCCCCAGAGGCTACCCCTGCTCTGATACATCATCATGTATATTTCCTTGTTATCAAACTTGACATACTTAGTGGAATTGTGTAATACAGTCGTGTTTTTGTCTGATGTTCTTTACTTAGTACAGTGTCATTGCATGTATCAATTGTTCTCATTCCTGAATTGTATTATATATTATAAGTATGTAGCAGTTTATCCTTTTGAAGAATAAACATGATTCTTTTGAAGAGCAAGGCTTTTTGCAACTTAAATTGTTCCATGTAAAAGTGTCAATGTGCAAATGGTTGTATTTTCATGTCACGTGTATCACCCACATCCCACTTGGGTGATGGAATCAGGATCCCTCTGCATGGTGTGGGCTGGTGGTAAAAAGACCACACGGACACAAAAGTAATTTTTTCACAAAGCGGGGGTAAGATGTCTCTGCAACCTTAAGAGTCCTGCTGTCACACTGGAAGGCAAGAGAGCAAGAGAGAGTGTGCACCCAAAATCCCTTTATTTATAGGGAAATTAACAAAGAATTTTTGATAAATGTTTTTCAAATAAGGCAGGGATGGGCTGACCTAGCCCCAATGGGTAATGCCCAGATCCAGAGCTATGAGAAAACAGACTTATTTCTTCGCTGAGTGAAGGTGGAGGCCACCTGTATCATGCAGCCCACAGCATGCAATGGCAGACCAACACCCCCTTGGCTCAAGGCTGAGAGAGAATTCTAAACAGCTCATGGGCAGCTACCCACATATTCCCCCTTTTTACTTTGGAAGAGTAAATGATGAGCCATTATCTCAAGTTCCTGGATTCTTGTTCTGAGGGCACAACATCCTATCATCACAATACAAAAGAGAACTAATAGCATAGATAACATTGCAATAATATACCATGGATAATGTTTAAGCATGTTTCCAGGATTAAAGCCATTTAATTCTTGAAGTATATGGTCAGCTAGAGAGGTAGGATCCAAAAGATCAGTTTTACTTTTTTGAATATCCTGGATATGGTGATGTAACTCCAAAAGATCCAGGCTAGCTATTATTATTGCTCTGCCAAATACTCATTAGATGATTTTTAACCTTTTTCCAATCCCATTGGGAAGTATTGTACTTGGCTGCAGTAACACAGATACATTTATAATCAGCATGGCACTTAAGCCTTTCCTAAACTTGAGAACAGAAAGCTCATTACCAATATTTATGACAGTGGCTTCTAGAGCATTCAATTTAGTTTCAATCTTTTCATCAATATTATCTGATTATGGAGGGCTTTGGAAGTATTTTGAGCCACATTGTAAGAATATTTGCATGTTGAATGTTTTGAGATATAGCCACAGAGGCTGTAACCATAGAAGCAATGAATGAAATTAAAACAGACACTCCAAGGATTATGAGACCAAGAGCTCACTTAGGTCTGGTTAACTGAGCATGCATCTGTTGTAAAACCTGGACACCAGCATCAGCATACCATTGTTCTAAAATGTTGGCTGGTAATAAGACAAAAGAGGGCTGGTGACGGATCAGTGTTCCTTTCCCTCTGTTATATCTAGTAACGCAATTAGTTAAATTGCACTTTTTACAAGCTATAAGATATTCATCATCCTTTCTCTAAATTCTCACATTTCCAATAATTAGAGCATAAGGAGATTGAACACAGGCTTGCAGGCCATAGCAGGAACCCTCCGTACAGTTCCTGCCTATGAAATCAGGAATAGTGCAGGAAATCTGAGGCTGTAATTAAGCGCCAAACATCCTTCTAGAAGCAGCCTTCACTGAAGGTTAGGATATTACCAACAAAGACTTCAGGGTTCATGGATTCTTACATAATTGTCTTTGTCAATTCTAAGAGACCAGTCTAAAATGTACCCACTATTTCTAGAAACTTTATGTTGTACTCCAAGGCATTTGCACAATCCATCCATTTAGGAAAAGTGCCAAATTCCATTGCACAAAGGTTAGGACAGTGAGGTATTGGCGGATGTTCTGTGGAAATGACTGGCTTGTTATGAGACAGTCCCATTTTAATAACTGTTCTAACATATGGCTTTGAGTCCCAGGGGCCAGTGTGATTGGGTTCTGACCCAACTGTCTGCACAACTCATGTTCTTCCTTTAATAACTAACAGCAATAAAGTCATGGAATAGTGTCAATGACTTTTGAGGAGAATGATCTAGGTGGAGCCATTCAATAATTCCCAATGATTGCCATATTCCTCCTGTTTATGAACAGTGGGAAATGCTAGCAAGTATATAGGCTCCTGTGGATTAATTCTGGTAAGATGTGCAGTCTTAATAGCAGATTCAACCTTTTAAAAGGCAATCCTTGCTTTTGCTGTAAGTTGATGAGGAGAAGTTGGAGAAGGATCCCATTGAAGATCTCAATCAGAGGACTCAAATCTGCAGTGGTTAGTTTTAAACTTGGTCTCAGGCAATTGATATCACCTAGTCTCACCAGTGTCCCATGATGACGAGATGGGCTGGGTTTAAAAGAGCTTGGTGGCAACATTAAACTAAGAAAATGGCAAAAAAAGCACAGGACACAGAAGTAATTTTCATATTGAGGGTGGGACTGCTCTGTGACCTTAAGGGTCCTCTTCCATGTTGGAAGGCAAGAGAGCAAGTGCACCTGAATTGCTTTATTTATAGGGAAAAGACAATAAAGGATTTCAATAGAATATTCTACACCAAATAAGGCAGGGAATAAGGTTTCAAAGGTGGAGTCTTGCTTTGTGATATCTTGTGGTCAGCAAATTGACATTTTGGCAAGCCACACCCATTTCAGGTGCTGTGTGGGATCACAGGCAGAGTGAGAGGAGAAGGTGCACTTGCATCACACAGCCCAATCAGTGAGCACCCCAGACCTGTGCCCTCATTTATCTACAATGCGCATAGCTCACACATACCGCCCATGGATGGCTCAAGACATCCTAGTAACTTTTGAAAGTCATTAAGAGTATGTAAACCATTAACTCTTATTTGTAGATTTTGTGGACAAATTATGTGTCCTTCAATTACATTACCTAAATATTAAGAAGGAGAGGTCTTTTGTACCTTTTCAGGTGCTATGCATAAACCAATTGCAGTAAGTGAATTTTCTAATTGAGCAAAAATTTTCAAAATTACATCTGGACTAGCATGATCCAAAAGAATATCATCCATGTAATGGATAATATATACATCGGGGAATTCTTTTCTTACAGGAGCACTAGCCTGAGCTACAAAGTTCTGACAAAGCATTGGGCTGTTACACATACTTTGAGGCAAAACTGTCCAGCAAAATCTTTTTAAAAATATATTTTTATTAGTTGTTCATGGACACTCATTTTATTTACTTATTTATACGCAATGCTGAGAATTAAACCCAGTGCATTGTACATGCTAGACAATCATTCTACCACTGAGCCACAACCCCAGCCCTCCAGCAATGTCTTTTAACTGGTCTTTGAAACTTATAGCCGGAATGGTAAAAACAAATCTCTGACAATCATCTGGATGCAGTGGGATAGTGAAAAAACAATCTTAAACCTATTACCATTGAAAGATAATCAAAAGGGATGGCTGTAGGAGAAGGAAGCCCAGGCTGTAAAGCTCCCATGGGTTCTATAATGTGATTAATTGCTCTAAGATTTTGTAATAGTCTCCATTTGCCAGATTTTTTTCTTAACTACAAAAACTGCTGTATTCCAGCAACTAAAAGTAGGCTCTAAGGCCAGCTTGAGGTTGTTCTTGGACTAAAATATTGGCTATTCAAAGTTTCTCCCCTGTTAAGGGCCAGTGACTAACCCCGATGGGCTTTTCTGTTAGCTAGATCATTTTTTTCTGCTGTTTTCCAGGCTGGGGAGGAAGTCAGCTCCCTCATTAAGAACTTTGATTGGGTGAATTAAATTGAGTCATAGGTAAATACCCTCTTGCTGATTCCCTTTTAATCCTTTAGGAGAAATAGAACCTTGATTAAACATCTGAGGTGACACCATACAATAAGGAATTATTAATAATACACCTAGGTTACATAGAATAGCTCACCACCATAAATTTACTGGCAAAGTATTGAGGACATAAGTTTTAAAAAGTCCTGCATTGCCATCTGTATCTTCCCATTGGAGGACTGGGCTCTGAGAAGGCTAAGAGATTTGACCAGTCCTTTC